AAGCACGTGGTCCACTTGAGGGGCCTATTTCCCCTTCCCAAGAGCTACTGCCTGCATGAAAACTCCCCCTTCTCTGGAGGGTGAAAGACCATCAGCAGTAAGCCCAAAGATAGGTGGTAGAGCTTTGACATGAACATTTTTTCCTCCCCTTGTTTTAAAAATATTTATTTATTTTTCCTAAATAAAAATTATATATCTTTAAGAAATGTGATGTTTTGATATGTGTATATATACAGTGAAATGGTTACCACAAACTAATTAACATGTCTATCACCTCCCATGGTTATCGTGTGTGTGTGTGTGTGTGTGGTGAGAACACTTGAGATCTATTCTTTGAGCGAATTTCAATTATATAATACATTATTATTAACTATAGTCACCATGCTGTACTTCGAGTTTCCGGAACTTATTCATCTTATAACTGAAAGTTTGTACCCTTTGATCAATATTTCCACTTTGCCCTACCCCCTCCCTGAAGCTTCTAATAACCACCATTTACTCTCTGTTACTATCATTTGACTCTTTTTAGATGCCACATATAGCGAGATCCCGCAATATTTGTCTTTCTATGTCTGGCTTGCACTTAACATAATGTCCTCCAGGTTTACTCGTGTTGCCTCAAACAGCAGGATTTCTTTCCTTTCCTGAATACTATTCACACACACAGCACCTTTTCTTTATCCAGTCATCTGTCAACAGACGAGTTGTTTTCACATCTGGGCTATTGTGACTAATGCTGCAGGGAACACGGGAGTGCAGATACCTCTTTCAGATAGTGATTATATTTCTTACAGATATATACCCAAAGTGGTATTGCTGGATCACTTGGGAGCTCTGTTTTTGATTTTTTGAGGAACCTCCATCCTATTTCCATAGAGTCTATACCAATTTACTTTCCCACCAACAGTGCACAAGGGCGGGTTCCCTTTTCTCCATATTCTGGGAGGGAGATGAGCAGCCCCATAAGGATGGGGCTGCCAGGCAAATCCACTGTGGGCTCCATGTCCTCCAAGGAAGCACACCCCATTCCTGCCCTCTGTACTCAACACAACTTCAGGGTTGTGAGGCCGCTTCCAGCATGGTTGGCATCCAGCCCCAAAGAGTCTCCATGACTACAGCTAAGAAGGTGTTGAGCCAACTTTAATACTAATGAGCAGTGTAGTAACGGCCTTGCAATGCTTGGCACATCGACCACTTTCTCTTCATCTCTTAGCACAAAATACACTTACTAATTATAAACTAAATGATCTGTTTTATTATTTAACAAAAGTACTAAGAGCAATGCCTTATGCCTTACTTTTTGCTGATACACATTCTTGGGTGTGTTTTTCAATAGGGAGCCAACACTCAAGTCATATAAACTCTAGGGACTGTCATTCCACTTTAGGGGAAAAAAACCCAAAAAACAAAACAGAGAAGAAAAAAGAAAAAAAGAAGAGCAAGACATTTCAATTATTCCTTGACTTCCTTAGAAGGACGTCTCTATTTTTGTTTCACTCCCTTTAGTTTAGAGGCTACAGTGCATACTGTGAGTGGCTCTAAATTGCCAGGAAGAGCCTTGCCCACAGAGAGTCAGGATTTTGGGGTAGAACTGCACAACTGGACAACTAGATACCAGGGTTTGGTCTAAACTGACCAAGTAGGGGAGCGGGAGGGGCAGCACTATGTAGCTGGAACTTTCATAGTCCAAGAAAGAGCTTTCAGACTCAGCCATGAAGGCCCCCTGAGAAGCACAGAGACTGGCGAGGAAGTGTAGAGGTGGGCCAAGTGTGAACAAGGCTGGGACAAACCAGAAGTTGATTTGAATTTGGTGACAAGATAATGTTGAGGTTTAAAAATTTCCAAGGCACTAATCAAATGCTTTTTTTTTTTTTAAGATTTTATTTATTTATTTGACAGAGAGAGAGAGAGAGAGAGAGCGAGCACACAAGTAGGTAGAGTGGCAGGCAGAGGGAGAAGCAAGAGTCTGATGTGGGGCTCGATCCCAGGACCCTGGGATCATGACCTGAGCTGAAGGCAGATGCCTAACCAACTGAGCCACCCGGGTGCAAATGTTTTTTCTTACATCCTATAAAGCAAATGCCGATTAGTTCCAAGCAGCTACTTTCCATGGTAATGTTTGGGATGTTTGCTCATTCACGACTTGATTCAAATTCTAAAGTCATTCACTAAGCTAAGTGGGACAGTGACTGTAGAGCCTGCAAGGACATTTTAGTGTGCACACAAGGAGAGGAAAACAATGCTTAGCACTTGGGGCCACAGGAGGTGCTCTGAGCAGAAGGAGTGGGCTCTTGGAAGGAGGCCTCAGAAACAATTAGACTCCCATAAAGGAAAATGCCACTGTAGCTGGCTTGCATGTCCCATCAGCAAGATACTAAAGCTGGGTTACTGACAATATGAATTCATGTTTCACAGGAAGGAAAAAAATCTGGTTATACCTGAAGGCTTCAGGTACCTGAGCATCAGTTTTTAACAGTTTGGAAATGTAGATCATTTTATATGACTAGGGAGAAGAAAATCAACAGATTGTATATTCCCACTTAGGTAGAACACAAACAATCAAAAAGACCAAACAGCAGATTTTTGTGTGATGTCTATACAAAGTGCCTCTTGCTTTAAAGAGTCCCTAATGCTGGCGTGTCTGGGTGGCTCAGTTGGGTGAGTGTCTGTCTCTTGATTTTGGCTCAGGTCATGATCTCAGGGTCTGAGGTCAAGCTCCTGAGTAGGGCTCTAGGCTCAGTGGGGCGTATGCTTGAGATTCCCTCTGTACTCTCTCTCTCTCCCTCTCAAATAAATAAATAAATCTTAAAAAAAAAAAATGAAGAGTCCCCAGTGCCAAGGAAATAAGTTTTTATCAGGGATTTGATCTAAAGAAACTTCTAGTTATGCCATATGCATTTATATTCTGATTTCCTTTAAGTTTTACTGCCTTGGTATTGTATTATGATAAATAGTTTGAGGAATTCAGAGTTTAAGGGGTTTTTATGGATAGGAACTGGGACTCAGAGGTGGGCTAAGTGGCTAGATTAGGATCCCAGAGCTAACCGGGGGCAGGCCAGGGATTAGGGCACGTGGTCCAGCAAGTCTCAAGATGCGGCCAATGGTCTCTGAAGAGAGACTAAATTACATAAGATATGATTTTCATTTTAAATATATTTTAAAATAACCTATTTTTTTAATCAGTAAAAAACATATAAATGAAATAGCTATCAAACAGATACAGATAATAAATAAACTATAAGCTCCATCCTCTCCCCAAGATCTTTCTGGATAATTGGAAGTTTTCCAAATATTTCCAGGGAATTCCCAAGTTGGAGTAAGTTACAAAGGCGTTCTTGCTGCCCATCTAGAGAAGAAAGGATCTTATATTTGATGAATACCTACTACAGGACAGAGACCATGCTGAGAACTTCTATGCTCATGGTCTCACCTAGTGATGGGTTAAATATTCGCTCACTGATGTGCATGAGGAAAATCCAACTCAGGATCACACCACAGCTGCCATTCCTTGGCCTTCCCACATTAGTTGGTACATAAGCTTCCCTCCCTACAACCAGCCCTGATGACATTATCTGCAACCAATTTTTCCTTTTGCCTCTGGTATTGGGGTCTTTCTAGTTCTCTAATTCCTAGGGGGGTGAGAAGTGGTACTGGAGCCTTTCAGGTGGGTACATACAAAAGAAGAAGAACGTGAACATGTTGAGTGCTTATGCCGTCCTCACTCTTAGCTGGCCACTCTCTGGTTCTGCAGGGCCAAAAGCAGATGTTGTTTAACAAGGGACTGGATCTGGTGACCCTCCCTGACACCTGTGCCTTGTTTGCATTTTTTGTTTTTTATGTTGAATTTGGATGCCTTTCTGGGGAGCAGGCACTTGCCCCACCACATCCTAGTGTCTCACACACATCCTGCTTTATTTATTTATATCATTTGCTAAGCCTCCAGAAGCATTTGTGTTGTGACCCCCGGGGATTTAATGCTAGCTGTACTCATTAGCACCTCCCATCAGAGTCATGGGGTCTCTGGTATCTTTCAGAGTTGTTGTGACAAGCTTCTCAGTTGCTGTGGGTCACCGCACAATTTCTGGGGCTCCTGCCGCCTAGACGATGGATTTGAGTTGTACCTCTGGGAACTATGGAGTACACAGCCTGCACAACTGTTGGGGGCGGTCCTAGTGTTATACACTGTAGAGCTGCACAGCGAAAACTTCTGGACCTTAACCCAAAGTGTAAGGCTGCTCAGCGTTACCCTTGGTCTCATGTAAAAGAAAGGGAGCAAAGAGGATGGAAATAGAGGAATTGTATACACAGTTCAAAGGGTGACCAATTTCATGTTTTATCATTATGAACCCCATCTTTTAAGTTCTTGAAGCTTAGGCCATCCACCCGAATAATGTCAGCTCTCAACAGAACGGGTCCGGCTACCAGCATCCCTACAGTAGCAGATATCACTGTACTCGCTAAAGTAATTAAGAAACATGAGTAGGGTCTTTTCAACAGCAAGTGAGGACAGCAAGTTTGCACTTCTTAGAATACTACTGTATTAACTGTGAAAATTACTGATTGCTTTTACTTTTCCCCCAAGCCAGGAAGGTGCTGTGAATACTCTCATTCTTTTACTTTCAAGGGAAATCAAGGGCTCCTTCACCCATCTGAAAGAGAAAAATCATAGCCACGGTCCCAGTGACTCAGATCCCACATCTAGGACTGTGACAAACTTGGGCTGTCCTACTCAAAACCTGAAGAGTAAGTGAACTAGAAACTACGAGTGGCTGGGAGCCACAGGTGAGGTGAGATTCCCTGACAGAAAGATGCTCCGTTCAGATTCATGCGTCCGAGAGTTTAAGTGCATCAAATAGAAACCGGCTATGCCGCAAACCTAACAGTGGTGGGGATCTGGACATCAGCCCCTGAGCAGGAATGGGGTCCAGGGTCCACCTTCTACCTCCTACTTAGCCGGCTGTCTACACGAGCAACCACACAAACAGACCAAATGACTGTACCTCCTCGGGCAAGCTGACCACCAAGTCATTTTTCGTCTGCCCAACCAGCGCCTGCCAGAAGTATTCACTGCACGCGGCCAGCACAGCCCGGTGGGCCCGGAACTCCTTCCTTTCCACGATCAGAGTCACGTCACAGAGAATATCCTTTTTCCGCTGGTCATTGAGGCCCAGGAGGATGTTGGTGCAGTGGACTGTGGACTCATACACATACATGGGGGAGTCAGGCTTCTCATCCACAGACATGCCGTTCACACCCTGAAAGAAAGAAGGAAAGGCAGGGTCACCAGGGCTATCTGAGTCAGATGTAGGAGGTGAGAAGAATGTCACAGTTCCTGTGTCCCACAGACAGGAGCCAGGCAAAAAGGAGAACTGTCCATTAGCACATTCACGTTCAGCACAATAAGCTCAGAAAACACATCTGGAAAGTCACTTTCAGTGACTGATTTTTATCCTTCCCACTCACTGCACCCTTTCACCCCATGGAAACAAAGCCAGGCCTTTTAATAAAACACTCCAGAACATTTAAAACACATATACACTCTAAAACTTGGTAGTTTGGATTTTGCTAGGTGACTGAAAATGGAACGTCCACATACACATGGTCCCAATTCAAGTATCGATTGAACTTGTGTTAAGGAGAAATGAATCATTTAGAAGTGTTTGCTATGCTCTCTTGACAAAGCACATGTAAGCTCCTAGGTTGACGTTTGGCTAAGATTCCAAGCAGAATAAATATCTAATCACAATACGTCTTTGACCAAGTGAAGTAAACCTCATGTGTACTGAAGGGTCAGTAGAGTGAGCTACCACAATTGCCCTCTGCCACTTCAAGACAAAGCGCAACCAGTGGAATGCTGGTGTTGTTCAGGAAAAGCTCTTGAAAAGAAGTGGACTTGTGCTGCAATTATCCCAGCAGACTTGATATATATTCTCTTTAAGGAAACACAATATATCACATTAAGAGTCATAGAAAAGATGTATTCCACAGTGAAGACTACTTATACAAAAGGGTTCTTTGCTGCAAGAAGTATCCACTGATGTACTTGAGGATGTTGTATCTGTAATTAATTTACATAACATAGTTTTTCAGAAATGTCTACTTCTACTAAAAATTCCAATCAAGTTTTGCTTTCCTTTTGGCTTCATTCTTATTTATTTTAATAACTTTAACCCACAATAAATTATGTATAGTTATAGTGGGTGGTTTGATACATTTGAGCATATGTATGCAACTACGAAACCATCATCACAATCAAGACAGGGAACTCTACATCACCAGAAGAATCTCTCTAGGCCCCTCTCTGTACCCTCCCCTTCCCCCCAAAACCATAGGTCTGCTTTTTGACACTCTATATTAGTTTGTATTTTCTATATTTTATGTAAATGGACTCCTACAGATTATGTTATTTTATGTCTGGCTTCTTTTTTTTTTTTAAAGATTTTATTTATTTATTTGACAGAGATCACAAGTAGGCAAAGAGGCAGGCAGGCGGGGGGCGGGGGAGCAGGCTCCCTGCTGAGCAGAGATCCCAAGTGCAGGGCTCGATCCCAGGTCCCTGAGATCAAGACCTGAGCTGACAGCAGAGGCTTTAACCCACTGAGCCACCCGGGCGCCCCTATGTCTGGCTTCTTTTACTCAGTGTGGTTATTTTGCAATTCATCCAAGTTGCAAGCATCAAACAGTTGTTCCTTTATTGCTGAATAGCGTTCCATTGTATGGATACAGCACAAATTTTAAACCATTCATCTACTGGAGGGTCTTTGGGTGTTTCCAGTTGGGCTATTACAAATAAAGCTGCTATGAATTAGTGTATAAATCTCTGCATGAACATATGCTTTCATTTATCTTGTGTAAATTCCTAGGGGTAGAATGGATGGATCATTTGGTATGTGTAAGTCTAGCTTCTTGAGAGACTGTCCCTGTTTTCTACAATGGTTGTAGCATTTCACATTTCAGCAGCAGGGTATGAGAGTTCTAGCTCTTTCACATCCTTGCCACCAGTTGTTAAGCTCAGTCTCTCTAATTTTGGCCATTCTAATAAGTATACCATGGTATTTCTTTGTGGTTTTATTAATTTGCTTTTTTTCTAGTGACTGAAGATGCTGAACATCTTTCGTGTGCTTATTTGCCATCTATTTACCTTCTTTGGAGAGATGTGTATTCAGATTCTTTGTCCATTTCCTACTGGTCTGTTTCCTTATTACTGAGTTTTGAGCATCCTTTATATACTCTGAATAAAAGTCCTTTATCAGATATGTGATTTGCCAGTATTTTCTTCAAGTCTGTAGCTTGTCTTTTCATTCTTTTTTAAAAAAATTATTTTTATTAACATATAATGTATTATTGCCCCAGGGGTACAGTTCTGTGAATCATCAGGCTTACACATTTCACAGCACCCACCATAGCACATACCTTCCCCCAATGATCATAACCCAACCACCCTCTCCCTAACACCCCACCCCCAGCAACCCTCAGTTTGTTGTGTGAGATTAAGAGTCTCTTATGGTTTGTCTCCCTCCCGATCCCATCTTGTTTCATTTTTTCCTTCCTTACCCCCCACAACCCCCCACTCTGCCTCTCAAATTCCTCATATGAGAGATATCATATGATAATTGTCTTTCTCTGAGTGACTTATTTCACTCAACATAATACCCTCTAGTTCCATCCCCATCGTTGCAAATGGCAAGATTTCATTTCTTTTGATGGCCATCAACAGATGAATTCAACAGATGAATGGATAAAGAAGATGTGGTATATATATACAATGGAATACTATGCAGCTGCCTTTTCATTCTCTTAACAGTGTTTTTCAAAGAGTGGAAAGTCTTCATCTGATGAAGACCAATCAAGCAATTCTTTCTTTTATGGATGATGCTTTTGGTGGCATATCTAAAAAAACTTTGCCTAAACCAAGGTCATATCTTTTTTTTTAGATTTATACAGAGATATATTACTATTTTAGAGTAATTATAAATGATTTTGCTTTTTAATTTAAATTTCTAATTTTTCATTGCTAGTATACAGTAATATAAATTGTTCTTGTGTATTGATCTTGTGTCCTGCAGTTTTTCCTAATTTGTTTATTAGTTCTCACAGTCTTTTTTTTTTTTTTTTTGTAATAACAGATTTTCTAAAACATACATGCTGTCCAAATGAAGACATTTTACTTCCTTTCCAATCTGAAAGATTTTGGTGTCTTTTTCTTGCTTACTGCATTGGCTAGAACCACTAGTGCAATGTTGAATGAAGTTGTAAGAAAAAATATCCTTGCCTTTTCCTGTTGTTATGGGAACACTTCATCCTTTCACTGTTATTTATGATGTTAGGTGTCATTGCTTCATAGATACCCCTATTGGGTTGAAGAAATTTCTTTCTATTCCTAGTTTATTGGGAATTTCTTTTTTTAAAAATCAGGAATGGATGCTGGATTTTGTTGAATGTGTTTTCTACATGTATTGATAATCACATAATTTTTTAATGTGTTGATATGAATAATAGGATTGATTTTTGATATTAAATCAACTTTGCATCTCTGAAATAAACTCCTCTTGACCATAATGTATTTGTTTTGTTACACATTGTTGGATTCATTTTTTTAACATTTTGCTAAGAATTTTTGCTGTCTTTGCTCATATGGGATATTAATCTGTAGTTTTCTTTTCATATATAAGTATTTAATCAAGGTAATGCTGGTCTCACAAAATGAGTTGGAAAATATTTCTTACTCTTCAGTTTTCTAGAAGAGCTTTTGTAGAATTGATATCATTTCTTCCTTAAATATTCGATAGAATTTACCTGTGAAATCTCCTTGAGATTTTTTGAGTTAAAACTCAAAAAAAATTTGAGTTTTAACTACAAATTCAAATTTTAAAAAAAATTGTCAAATTCATTGGCATAAAGTTGTACATAGTATTTCCTTATTTTCACTTAATATCAGTAGAATCTATGTTGGAGTTCACATTTCTGATACTGGGAACTTGGGTCATTATTCTTTCTTTTCTGATCAGGTTGGGTAGAGATTTTTATCATTTTTATCAATATTCCCAAGGAACTAGCCTTTTGTTAAACTGATTTTCTTATTATTCTGTTTTTATTACACTGATTTCTGCTTTCATTGTTGTACCCTTTCTTCTGTTTACTTTATGCTTTAATTTGCTCTTTTTTATTTTTATTACCTTTTATTATTTTTAAAATTTTATTTTAACTCCTATATAGTTAACATAGTGTTAATTAGTTTCAGGTGTAAAATATAGTTATTCAATAATTCTATATATTGTATAGTGCTCACCACGATACGTGTATTCTTAAACCCCTTCCCCTATTTCACCCATTCCCCCTGCCCCATCTCCCTATCTCCCCTCTGATAACCATCAAGTTGTTCTCTATAGTTAGGTATTCTTTTTTGGTTTGTCTCATTTTTTCTTTGTTCATTTGTTTTGTTTCTTAAATTCCACATATTAATGATATCATATGGCATTTCTTTCTCTGACTTATGTCACTTAGCATTAGACTCTCTAGATCCATCTATGTTATTCCGAATGGCAAGATTTCATTCTTCTTTGTGGTTGAGTAATATTTCATTATATGTATATATACACACCACATCTTCATCCATTATCTATTGATTGACATTTAGGCTGCATTCATAATTTGACTATTGTAAATAGTGCTACAATAAACACAGGGGTGCATATATCCTTTTGAACCAGTGTTTTTGTATTCTTTGGGTAAATATCCAGTATTGAAATTACTGGATCATATGGTAGTTCTATTTTTAAATTTTTGAGGAAACTACATAATGTTTTCCACAGTGGCTACTCCAGTTTGCTTTCCTGCCAACAGTGCAAGAGGATTTCTTTTTCTCCACATCCTTGCCAACATTTGCTGTTTCTTGTGGTTTTGATTTTAGCCATTCTGACAGGTGTGAGGTGATATCTCATTGTAGTTTTGTTTTGCAATTCCCCAATGATCGCTGATGTTCAACATCTATTCATATTTGTTATCCATCTCGATGTCTTTGGAGAAATGTCTGTTCATGTCTTTTGGCCCATTTTTAAATCAGATTTTTTGTTTTTTGGGTGTTGAGTTTTGTAAGTTCTTTATAGATTTTGGATACTAATCCTTCATCAGATAAGTCATTTGTAAGTATGTATCTCCTCCCATTCAGCAGGTTGTCTTTTAGTTTTGTTGACTGTTTCCTTTGCTGTGCAGAAGCTTTTAATTTTAATGTAGTCTCAATAGTTTAAATTTTTGC